TGGAAGAGCATTGAATGAATGATGTCGTACAATACAAACTGCATGAAGCTGGGTCGCTATTTTGTTACATACTCGACGACATGTATGATATTTGTAATCATGTTTCTCGCTACTATAACTCCCACTAAATATTAAGCTTGTAATTGGGTGTTTCTGGATCTGACCTGATCCAGAAACCCCAATTACAACCTACTGTCATGGGTTTAAGAAATAATAATAGTAGTAAGACCTAATAATAGTAGTTATTTGATGATCTCATGATCACCCAAAATTGGGGTCAGTGCGTAGAAACGTCGTTACGTCCGACGTGGATTGAAATTTTCAAGGTCAATTTTCAAAGGAATGTAGAGATATACGCCATGCTTCTATGCACTTACACGTGGATGCAAAGATTTTTATAGAAAAGATAAATACGATTTTTAATAAATCAAATCAATTAACAACATCGAGATTTCGTATTTTGACGGAAAGAGGTAAGTATAAGTTTATGTTATAACTTTCGTGATACTATATAGTAAATTAATTATTATGTTTTTCGGCTTACTCACGTAATTATTTGACAACGAACTCGACTAGTTTTAAGCCATACGAGAGGCTCATATTCATAAACGACGCGACGTGACGCGGCGACTGTCGCAGGGCGACACTAGTTGAGTCTAGTGAACTAGTCGAGTTCCTTTTCAAATAATTACGTGAGTAAGCAGAAAAACATAATAATTAATTTGGTAAGTAAGTTCTGAAATATGTAAAGTTTAATTCAATCATTCAAGGTAAAATTATAGTTGAATAGCTAGTCATAGTCACCTCTGACCAGACAGTCGTGTTGCTAATTAGCATCTAAGTATTCAACCAATAACTATAGACGACGTACCACGTCAATACTAAGAGTCACATTACAAAGTCCCACGTATGTATATAAACAAAGTGATAGTCAGTTCACACATTAAGTAAGTACGTCACAATTTCATTGAAAACAGTTATTTGACTCACTTAGTTCATCGTCATACTCATTAAAATGTTGCAATGACTTTAAAATTTCACAACATTAATGAGTCAATCTTGTATGAGTTTTATGTGATTTAACTGATATTTTATTGTATCTCTTCCCATTGTATTCGTCACAACTGGGCGTTGATTCATTTGTTTTTTATATCTGCTATCAGAAGTTATTTTGTATAACTGAGTCACAGACCTATTTTTCCATCCATAATCACATACATATGCAAGAAGACTTTCTTTGAACCCAGGAGAGTTCACAAAGAAGATAACTTCCATCTTCACTAGGTTAAAAAAATATTGGAACTATTTATGTTTGCCTTCTAGCAAGTTCGTGTGACAAAGTTCTATCACAGTATCTGTACAAAACGCTTGTAAAGTATTCAAGTGCTTATTCAATAGAGGCACAGTAGCCCTACATTGAATACTTATGGAATTATGGAAGTATTTTGGTCTCATGATCGATAAACACGTTGAGATGGTAACGGACGTGGGCGTCCTTAAGAACAAAAATCAGAAATTTTCCTTCACAAAATAAGGTAACGGTAGATAGATACACCCACCTGTCATCGTGTTATTCGTACCATCTAGTATAAAACAAAGGACGAAAACCACGAATATTTTGCAGTAAACCAAGGTATGGACGGATAAACAAAATCCAGTAAGGTTATGGCGTTAGTAGGAAACACCATGCATAATTATGAATGCTTGTGCATAATTACTCAATAATGATGTGGCTACAATGTATAGTAATAATAAGTCAGTAAACTGTTTCTGAAACTTTGATTAGCTAGCACATAAATATATTGGAAATTCTTTTGTAAAGACAGTTGGTTCATCTGGCAGTAGTTGTCAATCCTGACAGTCACTTGACTGCTCATATCGTGGCTTTGTAGAAGCAAAGAAGAAGAAAAATAGAAGTATCAATGAAAAAACAAAACAAGTCGGTTAACAAGGCATTAAAGCAAGTTTGTAAGAAACACAGCAATACTATTCAATAATAAAATCTTACTTATTACATGAATAAATAATATTTAATAGAATAAAAATTAATTACAAACCTCAATAGCCTTGACGCTATTTTCATTTCCACCCCATGGAACATAAGCGGCCCTATGTTTCACAGCCAGTTTACCAGGAATCAAATCGCCTTCAAACCTGGCCCTGATAACCCAGAGTGGGCTACCATCATGTCCTTCGTATCCACCAACTACAGCACGATCGTTGAATGCGTGAGCTTCGTTCGGGTTAGTAGGAATCCATTCGACAGCAGCTGCAATTAAAGATATTAATGAATACATCCAATTTTCAACAATTTCTAAACAAACTTTTACTTAATTAACTAACAACCCCGGGTTACTCACGTGAATATACAGAGAAAAGCTCTACTGGTTTCAAACCACAGAGGGGTTCTTCCTTATGAGCAGCGTGCACTGTTGTGGGGTGTCACGTCACGCTTTTCTCAGTATATTCACGTGAGCAACCCGCGATTTTAAGTTCATTTAGTATGTCTCACGATAGTTTTTATGAAAACAAACTTTTACTAGAATCTTCAAGAAATTAAATAAATACTATTTCAATGACAAATTGCTTTGGATCAATTAGAATTATGCTTCAAAGCATGCACTAGATATTGAAAGACCTTGAGAAAAGTTCGCTCTCGCCAAAAATATCTGGTGGTATTTTTTGTCGGAGATTGGTTTCGCGTCACAAGAATTCCTAGAATACTAGTTCGTTGTCAAGCTTGTTTAATAAATACTTAAAGGGGCACTCCATTATGAAAATCTTTGCCGATAATAAATTTTTTTATTTGTTCCCGTTGTTTGGTCCCTTCATCTTTCTTTATCTTCTGTTACTTAGCTAGTTTGTAGCCAAAAAAGGACGACTAATGACTCAAATGGAATGGAAAATGGTCTCAAATCTAGAAACAATAGTAATCTATTGGTTAGTATCAAACAAATCATGTTAGATTTTGGTCTTTAAGTTTCAGAATGTCTTACGTCCATAAGGAGAAGGGGCACCAAAGGGAGGAGCGTTGTAACCAAATCCTGGCGCCGAGGGAGCTGAAGGGTAGGACAGTGATGTCTGTGGCTGTCCAGCCGGCCCCTGGGCCTGTCCCGGTTGGTAAGGGTATCCGAATGTTGGCTGAAACTGCGGTTGGAAAGGCTGTCCAAACCCAGGTTGTCCTGCTATTGGAGTAGCGGCATTTACAGGGTTATATATCTGAGGATATATCTGCGGTTGCGGTGGTGGGTATTGCCCCGGGTTTCCATACGGATCTGCAACAAGAAAATTTTATAAGAACATAAATCAACTAACGGCTATATTCAAAAACCAACCTATTGGTGAACTTTTCTGCCAATAGATAGCTTAGTGAACATTGTATTATAACATTTATGTAATTTAAAATATCTAACAAAATTATTGTTCCAAATAAGAGCAACTAATTGAAACGTAGGCAGTAGACATATTTGAAAACATGTCGTGTCCGTTGTTTTCGGACTCATGGCTTCACTGAGATTAGTAGGTAAACCTGCCTAGTAGATTTTTGTATAAAGATCGATGATCTCAGAGATCCAAATATAAAATTATGTTGAAAGTAGTCAGCTACATAGAAACGTGTTGTAAATAACATACAAGTGGAAAGCATACAGGAATTTAGATAAGCGTTTGTAAATGAAATAAACGGTTATTACAACTGTTTAATTTCTTGTAACTTGTGAGATAAAGATATTTCTGGTATCGTTTCAAATATGATTTTATTAATATCATTGAAACGGCACATTTTGTGCTGAATATAATAAAATAGTTTTGTTTATGTCCAATGTGCCGTTAATGCGAAAAATGTGTTACGAAATTCTAGTAATTCCAAAATAGTTATAGATGTAGCTTTGGTACTTACGATCAGTGTTTGTTAATACTATAATTATGTGTGATAATAATAGATTGTTGTAGTATAGAATTCAGTTTCATCAGCATACCAGGAAATCGGGTCCTGCCTACGTACTTTTTGAATAGCAAATAATTATCAGATTATATTTTTTCCCGTTGTTATTGCCAAACTCGTTGGTAACATTCTATTTCAAGACTATAATAACAATCTATGTATTTATTAGCACATAAATTCATATCTATACAAATAACAATGATTTTCTTTCCGTTAGTCTCAATAAAACTCGAGAAAAGCTGAATGGCTTTGGCTAATTTTGGTCTTGAAATGGTCTTGGTAGTCCAGGGAAGGTGTAAAAGGTGAGAAAAAAAAATTAGACGACACGAAGTTTATCGGTTTTTTTAAGGGGGGAAAATCATCGAATGACTTCTCCCGCCTCTGTGAGGCAAGAGGGAATCTCTGGAGGGGAACTCTTACTGACTAAAATACACCCCGTTGCTTCTCCTGCACTTCGAGCCGGAGCCCCGCTAACCCACGGCTCGAAGTTTATCGGATAAGCTAATTTTTTAATAAGAAAGGAATCTCACTTTCTCATGTTTGTTACTTTTTTTTGTACGGGTCAGAAAAAAAGATTTTACACAAGTTAAGTTAATTAGTAGAATAGTAGGGTTCATTTAGGTAAAGAAATAAGCAACTGATCTCTAATCAAATCGTTAAGATACTATACATGTAAATATGTCCCTTTTTATAAAATAAACAATTTATTATTATTATTAGTTAGATTTAAGAAAACGAATGATTTTTTACCATCATAGCAAGGCGATGTCTGCGATTATAACGCATAGTCTAGCAATTATGGGAATTGATGAGACTACCTACATTCCGACAATCTGGTCCCAAGGAAGATTGCTCTGAATGCCGATTATATTCGTTACATCATTTCATAGTATAGTCAGCTCATCTGTCTATGTTTCATAATTTATTAAGTACTAACCCCTGCCAACGGCTTTTTGGGGTATAAAAAGTGGCGTATGTGTTATTCCAAATCAAAATCTATGTCTGTTTCAAATTTTATCTCGATCTCTTTAGCCGTTTTGACGTAAAGAGTAACAGACTCACACTTTATTGAAACATAGAGTTTCCTTTTTCTGGTATAGATGCACTATTTTTATGGACTGTTAATATGCATATGTGAGCACCATGTTAGACTATAAGATTTTTTTTGTTTTGCTTTTTTCATTTGCATTGTTCGCGTCAAGCATGTCTTTGCATTGTTCTCAGATATACGTACAGTATTGGAATTGGAATATGTATCAGAGACATTGTAGAACATACTTTTTTAATTAAAAAAACAAAATACCCGACTGCACACTAAAAAAAGAGTAAAACAAGCCCCACAATAATATTGATCAATCAAATGCTAAAAACTAATTATGTAATACCGTTTAAACAATACCTATATTAAAATACACTACAATATGTGTTCGTAATCGATAGTTAAATAAACAGAAACTTATTTTGAATACAAATTTACTGAATATAATTTATAAATGTTGATGGAATGCATCGCAGGCGGGGACCAACAGAGGCTTATTTATAGTCATTTCGGTTGTGCACCATTTAGCAGAATTTTCGTTGGCGGCGGTCAAGGTGGTCCCCGCCTGCGATGCTTTCCATCAACATTTATAAATTATATTCAGTAAATTTGTATTCAAATGCGTCACTCTGGGTCGGACTAATTATTGCCATCATCTTCAGTCTACGGACATTTTTAATGTGGTGTACAATTTGGACGCTGGGTCATCTTTGAACTACATAACATAACATTACGCCTTTTATCCTAGAAGGAGTAGGCAGACGTGCACAGTACAATGTAACACCCACTTTCACTATTTATGTTATGAGTGCCATGTAATAGGAGGTTAGCCTATTGCCATATACCGGGCACAATTCCAGACTCCGTGCTACAACTGGGATTTTTTTAAATACTTTGTCCGACCCGGGAATCGAACCCAAGACCCCTTGCCCGGCAGTCGCACTTGCAACCACTCGGCCAACGAGGCAGTCTTTGAACTTTGAGCAAATAGCTTCACTAGAGGACTGCCCGACAGACTGTCATTTTTTTTAATAGTTCAATATTTTGTTTTAACGTTTAAAAGTGCCTTCCCGGTCTAGTTGAAATAATTGATTTTTGGCTTTGACTGATTGTAATAAATGATTTTGACTTTTGACTGACAGGCAATTGGTTGATCAGCTCAAAGACATTATGATTACATGATAGAATAAAGGACTAGAACATGGACACCATAGGCGTGGTCGCTAGTATGCGAGAGCGCCATATTATGTCATAACAGGAGCATCGTTTTGTTTACATTTTGCAATCAACAATAGCGTTGTGAAAGTGTATGGTAGGCGTGACTTTGGTAGTCCCACTACGATGCTGTTATCTAACAAACATTGGAAAGCCGCTGCGGAGAAATTTCCACGCAAATAAACAAATATTTAATAAGGTTATCTCTGTTTTAGAAGTTTTTAGGCGCATGTAGGTCTGTATTATAGTCGTTTGTACATACATACATAACATCACCCAATTTATCCCCGAAGAGGTAGGCAGAGGTGTACATTATGCCACTGTACAATGTAACACCCACTTTTCACTATTTATGTTATGAGTCCCATGTAATAGGGGGTGAGTCTATTGCCATATACCGGGCACAATTCCAGACTCCGTGCTACTACTGAGATTTTTTGGAAAACCTCAGTAATACTTTGCCCGACACGGGAATCGAACCCGAGACCCCTTGCCCGGCAGTCGCACTTGCGACCACTCGATCAACGAGGCACACTTGTGTTTAGTCAGTATAGTCATTTATGTTTGTTAGTATTCTGTTTGGGGGCGTATTTAAAATATTATTGGTCACAAGGACGTGTCATATTCATTATCTCAGTGAGTAAATCTCATAAAACGTGACTAGATAAAAATTTATCTTAAAAACGACACATTAACTGGTTTGTAATGAATGAAAATTGTTAATTCGAGTCTTAATTTCTATCTTTTAAGGTATAAATTCCGTTAGGATCTATTTGCGATAATTTCCAGCTTACAGTTTTAGAATAAATATTTAAATTAAGAACCCTTTCTGTGTCGCTACGCAGTGCTAAATTGATGTCCACATTAGAAACATACCTAATTGCTTAGGTATTAAAAATATATTCAGGTTTTTCCTAATGTATTGTAGGGCACGTCATTACAATGAGTAGCAAAGGAAACTGATGTAAAAATTATGCAATATCAGTAACTGGTATAGGTTCAAGCACGAGTTTCACTTTTATGATGTTGTCTGTTAATATAACAGTTACATAAACAAATAAACCGCTACGGTACAGTCAATAATAGCATTTTTTATCGCTTAAGTGTCTATAGACACCTACTATGAATAAAAATATTTTAGAATGAACGCTGTCTTCAATACCGGTAGTTCGCACAATCTCACATGAGTTGTTCACCGACTTGTTTGTTTTTGTAACATTCTCTTGATTGTTAAAGTTAACGTTGAATGAAATATAATCAGTAACAGATAGGTAATAAATAAGCCACTTACATCCAGACATTTGGGGATAATTTTATAAATCACAGCACTAATGAACGAACGTGTTACAGCTCACTAGCACTAGACACGACTACCGGCGTCGGCACGAGCAATACGGAATAACAAAATAAATAGAATGGAATGAATGACGAGACGAGACGCGACGAACGCGGCCTCTCGGTTTAGCATTCAAAATGGCGGCGCGACAGAGGGCGCCAGTTAGACGCTTGGTGAGAGAGGGAAGACTCGTAAATTATAGATACTTAGATAGTTAGATGTAAAATCGACATTATGTTCCGTTACAAATAAATAGTTTGGGATTTCGAAAAATGCCTAGATTTACAATTACTTTTGAATCGGTTTGGTTACCTTTTTATTAGTGTAGGAGGTGTATAATAAACAAAAATAAAATGCTTATTACTTTAGCTCAGGAGGAGTAGGCAGAAGTTAAGGTGTAACAATTATTTTTGTGTAAGTATTGACATACCTATTAGAAAATTATAATTATTATTTGGAATATAGGCAATAGGTATCTCCCTGAAAATAGCCGAGAAAAATCAAAATATAATCCATTGACACTCAGAATCATCGTAACAGCCAGTGACGCCAGTAGCGCCACCTAACGTCAATTACTTAAACTATTAAATGAAATACAACACAAAACGAGTTAAAATATCTCCGAAGGAGTCTTTTACGAAACTATAACGTGGAATCAATAGTTCTGATATAATGTCACAGAGGGCGCTTATATATAAATATAGACAATGTTTATGTTTAATGTGGTATTGACCATGTTTATGGCCAACAAATTATTCTAAAAAGAAGATGTTAGGTACTGTTACATCAGATGCATCTAGCTTACTACCCCTTTAACAGGGATCATCGACCGGACATACCAAGCCTCCAACTATAGTCAGAATTTTAATTAGATTCCAGATTTGACAATAGCTACTGTCATTTTGTGAAATAATGATACCACATATAATAGTGTAGTGATGAACACAAAAATCGATAAACAATCAGTGTGTGTGTTTTATAATAAATGTTACAGAAAGTGACAGGATAGCGATAGCGATGACGGCGACAATTTATAAAATAACTTATTACCATAATACATCTATCTGTTTTATTTGTCATGTTCCTTCATGATTACATTTTTTTATTTATTTCACACACAATTATAAAAGAAAAGTCTCAGATCGTTAATTAATCGTCAAAACTAAATTATCGGTTCAGAAATATTTAATTTCCTGATATACTTAGTTTACGAGAGTAAAATTATAAACGAGAAGAATCGATCCAGAAATATTGCATTTCCATATCGAATAATTTCGCAACGTCACTATTTAGTACTTGTCATAACGTTGCAACACTGAAATTGTCAAATCTGGAATCGAATTAAAATTCCGAGTATAGTCGTAGGAGGTTGGTGCGTGCGCGTGGTATCGCCAGCAGCGCTGGCTTGCGCCGGCGCGCCGCGTATGCATCCGGTACACATAACTGTATCAGCTCCAAAACCCTCGGGTTATATATTTTGCCGCGAAGTACTTTAAATAAGTAAGTAGCGACAGCTACTTCCCTCCTCACCTCAATTTTAAAATATCCCACCATGCCCAATACAAAAAGAGTCGGATACAAAAGCGGGTAACCCGGATAAACACCATACATTTTTAAGTACAAAAATCTAACAAAATGTTCCTTCATGATTACATTTTTTCATTTATTTCACACAGTTATAAAAGAAAAGTCTCAGATCGTTAATTAATCGTCAAAACTAAATTATCGGTTCAGAAATATTTAATTTCCTGATATATTTAGTATACGAGAGTAAAATTATAAACGAGAAAAATCGATCCAGAAATATCCTGGATAACCTCGAGTCCGTCGTTAACACAGCAACTTCATTAGCGATTAATATAGGAGCCGGTTGCATACCTTAACAGTCTTGTAAGCGGATAACATTATCAAAAATATTGTACTGACCAAAACCAAATTACGTTTTGGATTTCCCAGAAACACATTCCGAAGTAGCTTTTTCCTTCATAGAATCAACCCACACAATGGCATGATACACTTCAGGTAAAACTATTTTTGTAAAAATATTATAAACGTTTTGGATTTTTGGAGGAAGTTTTTTTTTCATTGGGACAAGTCCGCCACAAGCCACAACCTCCCAAAACCACTGCAACTCCTGTAAGCCAGGATCTACAGTAGATACATGAAAACACCGGAATACTGAAGTCCGGCACGTCCCAGAGGCATGAATAACTGTCTTGGTTCCCGCAACGAAATGAATCAGAAGACATTATAAGAGGAGAAAAAAAAATACATGTTTGTTCTTTGTTTATTATTAGATATTATTATCATCATCATCATCAATAGCCTATATGGCTTCTTCTCACACCCATCACGCATGCTCTAGGCGGGTTGGCTATTTTAAACATATAAGTCCTCTGATGTTTTTCTTCACCATTTGTAACTAGAATTTAAATATTCTAAGAAAGTACACATAATTCGGTAAAGTTATATTTAGTACTTAACTTTAACAATTAAACTATTCCAGTGGAGTGATTAACATTGGGAGGTTATTCGAAACAAATAGCTGTGGTTATGTCAAAGTATTGTGTAATTTCCAGTTTATATTATTTTAATCAATCCAATGAAGTAGAGGGTGGGAATGACGAATGACTGCTCCCGCCTGGGTGAGGCGGAAGGGAGTGTCAGACTCTTACTGACTAAAAACCACCCTGTTCCTTCTCCTGCACGTCGAGCCGAAGCCCCGGTTACCCGTTAGGTTCTCCGCGACTGGGAAATACGCTTGGTGATATCAACGGCTCGAAATTATATCTAGTTTTTTTGGTGGGGAGCGCGGCGTCTCGTCGCGTCATGTTTTTGTGTATCACACATTTGTAGCTGGCGGTCGATTGTGCTGTTCCATAGTTGTTTATTAGTGTTGTGATTTGTAAAAGCATACCAAAATGAATACAAGTAAGCTATTATTGTTATATTTCACTACCTTAATTTTAAATTTCTTATTTTATATACCTTATTTTTACATTTCTTATTTTATAAATAGGGTTCGATTCCCGCACGGGACAACACTTTGTGTGATCCACATATTGTTGTCTCGGGTCTGGGTGTCATTGTGTATGTGAACTTGTATGTTTGTAAACGCACGAAAATCCTAGGATTTTCTCCTGTGTCGTGGGGCAGCGGTTTTTTTTTAAATGTATTTAATTTTATCTTATTTGTGTACTTCGCTGTCGTATTTACTTTTCTGCAATAGGCCCACAGGAAGAAATTCCATCTGATATACGACTTTTTTTTTAAGGGGGGAAAATCGGATTTACGACTTAAGGTACGTTAGTTGCTGTGTGTTCACCTATGATTATTTTATTCCAGACTGGGGTCAGAATCAGCCAGTTCAACCGCAGATGTACTGCCAGATCAATGGCATTGTATTTGCCGTTACTCCATTACCAAGACAACCTGGTACAGCTTGGCCTGGTAACGGTAGTGGACAAACGCTCCCACACGAATTTCAGACCCCGTTGAAATGCACAAGTTGTCAGGCATTATTGTCCGAACGTCCATCAGTACCGCCACCAATGTATTACCCGAACACCGCGGCGCCAGTCAAATGTTGTGGACGTAAGATACATATTTTTATATTTGAAGTCTTTTAAAATCCTGCTAATCCAACAGTGGTTATTTGATAATCCTTGTACCAACTGTTTTCAGTCAACAAGCCAAGTATAATAGTTACCAATAGACCATAGTATAATGATACAATGTTCTAATATCTTAACTGCAATAGTAATAATCATATTTAGAACTGATAGAAGGGATATATAAAATAGTTATTTTTACTCGAAAATCTTCGCTTACACTGCAAGAGCTGGAGTCTTCTATCTAAGTAAACATTAACTTATTATTTTCCAATTTCCAGCTGCTGTGGAATGGGTTCCTACTAACATTAATGATGCTCATACGCTCCGCGATCGTGCTGTAGTTGCTGGATTTGAGAAACATAACGGTAGCGCACTCTGGGTTATCAGAGCCAAGTACGCCGGCGATATGATTCCTGGTAAACTAGTTGCGAGACATAAGGTCGCTTACGTTGGATGGGATGGTAGAGAACATGACGTCCATGAATTCGAGGTTTGTAGTCATATTTTTGAATTTTTTTATTTTCAAATTAGCGATTTTATTGGTATGATAAGTATGATTCATTACATTAAAATACACCAATCTAATGAAGCAACAAAATTGCCAAACTGTGTGATTCATATCTGTGTAATGAATCATACATATACTAACAACAAAAATCGCTAAATTGTGTAACGATTTGTTGACGATATCAATACATAGTATAAAACATCGCTTTCGCTGTATGTCCGTATGTATGCCTAGATCTTTAAAACTACGCAACGGATTTTGATGCGGTTTTTTTTAATAGATAGAGTGATTCTTAAGGAAGGTTTGTATGTATAATACATGCATATTGCACCCGTGCGAAGCCGGGGCGGGTCGCTAGTCTTCAACTAAATATAACTTCTACTTGTCTTACCCATGATTGTGCAACAGTGCAAATGTCATTAAACTGTAAAAACCTTAGGTATATTCAATTTGAATTATGTTAATAACAAGGCTGAAATTATTTGAGTTTTATTAAGAATACTTAACGCAGGATAGAGTAATATTTGGTATCATTTTGCGCTGTTCAACCCTCCTAGTATGATGATGTAATTGGGTATAGTAGTAATAAAATTGTTAGTTATTAAGATTTCTATTATCTTTAAAATTTCATATTACGTATATAAAAATTTTACAAACGACGACCTACTTATTCGTATATGATTATTAATTAGATTTTTTTTGTAGTGTTTCCATGTTTGGCTAACATGAGGTCAAAGTCAGAAAGCATTTACTTCAAGTAAACACACACATGTACCTCTAGGTACGTCTGAAACGTCAAAAAGTGTACTAGTGACATGTCGTCCGTTAGTAAGCTAGGGGCCCGTTCCAAGGTGTACATTCGAATGGAGAAGAATGAGCAAGAAACTCCATCTCATCGAAAAAACGTTATCGCTATTTAAATGTTCTCATTTGCAGGTTTGCTGCGCTCGCCCAGAGAGAATAATGTGGCAAGAAGGCCGTAATGGACATGTTCCTCCAAATGCGATTGTAGCTGGCAGAACTTCTAATGGAGAGCCTCTATATGTCGGCAGGGCTTTTGAGCAAGGATCACTCACGCCTGGAAAGGTAATCCATTTTAAAATTATACATAAGTAATTAAAGAAGGAACGAAAAAACTTTATTTAACGCTAAAGAGGAAGTGGCGTGTACAGATGTAATTAACTTCTGCCAGCGGTTTAACCAGCGTTTTCGTTATAAAAGTAACCTATGTATAATTCCAGACCATAATAACTATATCTCTGTTACAAATTTTATGCCGAGCTGTTTCGACATGACTGCGTAACAAACATACACAGACTCACATACTTTCCCTTTCTTATTGATAAGAAGATAGTTTAAGTTAGACAGGTCCCATTCAAACAACTCCAAACGGCTCCAAAGTTTTAAAAATAATGGTTCCATATTAAGTAAGATTCTTCGATATTTTTTTTTATACCAAGACCGTGGCTAAAAAGCTCACGGTCCACGTGATGGTAGGCGGTTACCGTGGCGTGGTCTATGTATGTTTGCAACACTTGGAGCATTACATGCACCTTGCCAACCCTTAAGAAACCTATTCAATCCACTCTTGAAGAACCCCATGATGTAGTCCACTGGGAAAACCATTTAATACGGCATAATAATTTATTGGACTGCCTCGTTCGCGGAGTGGTCGCAAGTGCGACTGCCGGGCAAGGGGTCGCGGGTTCGATTCCCGGGTCGGGCAATTTACTATTGGGTTTTTAAAAAAAATCTCAGTAGTAGCACGGAGTCTGGAAATGCGCCCGGTATATGGCAATAGGCTCGCCCTATTACATGGGACTCATAACATAAATAGTGAAAAGTGGGTGTTACTTCTGTGTGAACCTCAGCCTACCCCTTCGGGGATAAAGGGCGTGATGTTATGCTATGTAATAATTTATTCTAAAATTCTTGCAGGTTCATCCCAGTTATCAAGAGCTGTTCCTTCCATTCGAAGGTAGAGAAGCATCCCACACAGAATACGAAGTACTGTGTGCCGTAAATGTTGTCCATCTGTGTAATTGTCCATGTGTGTAAATCTGTTTACACATTATTATCGCGTAATTTATAATAATATTAGTTTTAATGTTTGTTATTGTTATAGGTCTAAGACCAAATAAATGATCAAGTCTGCTTTGTTGAAAGACAATAAACCTTTGTGATATACGCTTAAAAGTTCTTAAAAGTGCGTTTGATTATGTTTTTTATACTTATTAACTCCAAGGTTCGATTCACCATGCGGCCACCTATCGATTCCGTCATCTAATCAGCACAATGGTCATCTGAATTGTATTGTATGATTACTCTTCCCATTTTTGGGGTACCTACTGGCATAAAATATATTTTACAAGCGTCCTTGTTACAAACAATAACATTGTAATCTGAGATAATACTTTTATCATCAGGAAAATATTCATTAATTTCCTCTTTAGCATTATGAAGTGAATGTACAATTTTTAATAATGAATAGTTCGCAGCGCCATCTATTGTCAGAGGCTAGAACTACCAAGCAAAATGAGACAAAGCGGACGAATGAGTAGATATGTTGAAATGCTATGGAGAGAGGGAGAGAGTACAGTATTGATAAAAAGTCAAAGAGGGCTCTTATGTAAAATAATGGAAACGTATAATTTTATTTAATTAGGGCCGATTTTAAAATAATCGGGAAATTTTTAACTGTAGAGTAAAATTTACATTTGACAGTTTTTAGTAACTACGGAAGAATTGACAAATATTAAAAGTTATTAGAACATAACAGAACATTACATTACCTACGCCTTTTATCCCCGAAGGGGTAGACAGAGGTGCACATTACGGAAATTAATGCCACTGTACAATGTAACACCCACTTTTCACTATTTATGTTATCAGTCTCATGTAATAGGGGGAATCAATTAATTATTTAATTAATTATTCTTCTTTTATTATTCTTTTCTTTTTTTTCTTCTTCATTATTCTTCAGTTTAAAATCTGAGCATTGGAAAGTGGACCCTTAGGGCCTTAATTTTATTTAGCTAATAAAATTGACGTCTGGCAGATTTACTATGGAAAAATCCAAAATTATTTCTTCGATAAAGTTACCTGGCGTTAGAAAAATGAGCCCTAAGCATTGTTAACAAATTATTATTAATTTAGCTTACTTACATAAAAGGTATACCCACTATGGACCTAAGTTGTTGTACTCGTTCCTGTACTTATCATTATGTCAAGTATGATCACTGAACTACTGTAACTAGTACTACTGAAGAAAAAACATGCCATTTCTACCCAGAAACAAGACATGCATAATATACCGGGATCAGTTACATTAGATTTTTTATAGATTGGACTGATGTCAATCTATCTATATATATAGATAAATAAAATTGGAGTGTTTCTTTGTAAAATCAAAATAACCGCTTTTTACTACGTGCATATGCACTAGTTATGTTTCTGCCACCGACAGAGGGTGCAAATGGAAACTATGATCATTTTAATAAATTTATTATAATTAAAATTACATGATAATTCCTAAAGTCTAACTAACCTACGAGCGAATGCGTTCGATATTAGAACGACACTGCTTTATCTTAATATTCATTATTATAAAATTAGTATGAAGGTTTTATTGAGGTTAAATCTAGTGGGGTGAACGATGATGCAGCGACTCGTAGCTGGGCACAAGGCGACGACAAGAGGAGACGACTCAGCAGTTCGAATGTTGCAATACTCCGTAGAACTTTCGTTGCATCAAAGTAGGTGTACTGATTCAGCAGATCTAGGCCTGGTGACACGGCGTTGATCACGGTGTAGGTACATGTGTCGGCACCGATACGTAACACACTCATGTACATAGTTACAATACCCATACCAAAATAACATTTTTTACAATTTTTATCTGTCTGTCTGTTTGTATTGGCTAATATCTGAAATGGCTGGACCGATTTTGCAAGACTCTTATTAGCAGGTAGCTTATGTACTAAAGAGTAACATAGGCTACTTTTATTTGAGAAAACTGAAACAAAAAAAATGTTCTAAAATTCTTATTCTACGCGGACCAAGTTGCGAACAGCTAGTTGTGATGTAAATCTACCCTGAATATAGTAAAATATTGAACTGTTCTTTAGTGTAGAATATTTTTACTTCTTTTTACTAAAAAATCTTCTTCTTCATAAAATGGTAGTAATTTCACCAATTAGCCAATGAGACAGTCAGGTCCTTCACTATGATATATAATGAGAGGTACCTATTTATTTTTCTGCAAAAAGTAATGCAGTAAAACGCTAAAGTTTCGTAAAATAAAATGTCATATACGACGAACAATCTCGTGTGTATTGCTGGACATTGTTGCATTTATGTGTACTCTGAGACTTCATATTTTGTCTGAGATTTTACAACTCTCAGAGGAAATATATCTACCCACTACGCTTCATATTTTTATATGTAAAATAAGGTTAATACTATTGAGTAAGAGTTACCATTTTTATAACATAATTAAACAAATACACTAAATGAATGTGTGGGAGAGCCATGCTTTGGCACGAATGGGCCGGCTCGACCGGAGTGATACTACTGCCTCACAGAAAATCAACGTGAAGCAACGTTTGCGTTGTGTTTCGTCATGTGAGTGAGGTTACCGAAGGCCAGGTCACCCCCGTCCCTTCCCCAATCTCTCCAATCCATGAATCATGACACTCCTAATGCCCAAAAGGCCGGTAGCGCACTTGTAACGCCTCTGGCGTGTGTCCATGGGCGACACCGATTGCTTACCATCAGGTGATCTGTCAGTTCGTTTACCGGCTTATCCCATTAAAAAAGTAAAGAATTATCAGTAAATATTCCATTCGATACATCGGCTAGGTATTTTTAAATAACAAAGACAATTAAAAAAATAATAATTTATTCAGTGTTCTTAAATTAAAAAGGAGCTACTAATATTGTACATGAATCCCGATACATTTTCCAACGATTTTCGTCAAATAAAATAATTACAAATGATTTTTATTTTTGATTATCATGGCTGTAGAAATATTGGATCATGAGAACCGTATACGATATAATTCGACCAGCAAAGTTCATAACAGTTGGTACGTTGATAGTGAAGACATTTGCCGATATTTCCAGTTTGCGAGTTGTAACCAACATTATAATAGTTTTTATTTGACTGAACAGTTGATCATCTGGAAAGAAATAGATTTTATTTTTTATATCGTAACCAGGTAATACTTGTATATAGCACAGCAAAAATACACATATTCACACATATTCACACATAATCACACATATTCAAGGTCGAAAAAGGTGGAAAAATGCATTGGAAAATATTATATTACACGGACTTATAATTTTGGTGCGATGCTGTACTACTACTACTAAAAGGGCTTTAAAAGACAGTAACGGTAGGTAATGTAACATGCGTAAGTAAAGAAGATTTTTGTCAAGAGGGTATTGGGTAGTTTCCAGGGTATCAACATTCCAGGGTATCTAATTATTCCGTCATTTAGATAATGAAAAAATATTAGACACGTATTTTTTATTTTCTCGTATTAAGTTGCAATACTTAGATAAAATGGCGCTAAGTTTAGGAGTAGGAGGTCGTTATGTCATAACGTGCTACAAAATGTGGCACGCTGTGACGTCATACGATATTTCAAATTAATATATCGTCGAAATTATTTAATTTTGTGAGAAAAGCAAAATACGTGTTTTGTTTTAAATAAATGTCCCAGATGGACATTAAAATTAAATTTAGGAAACTACCCTTTTCTGTCTGTTAATTATCTGAGGGTTCAGTACGAGCTAGTTTTTTTGTTTAAAATAATCGAAACGAGACCGCGTTCGGCACTCTGATTGGTTGGTTCAATGGAGCCGGCCAATCAGAAGAATCTTTGAATGCAGAACAAACTTGTACTAAGCCCTCTGAAATTCTTAAGAGGACGGTGTACGTGCACGCTCGACAATTTTATGCTGTGACGCCCGCGATCACATTGTCATACGTAATTATATGTTTTGTTTACATGTTACATTCAGTTCAGTTCAATAAAGCAGTTTGGTGTGCACAGACATCGATGTTTTCTTCCACATACTACATTAAAATTTCCGGTACATACGCACAGCGGCTGTGAGCTCCTACAAATGGACATGTCAACCATTGCTGTCCATTAACAGCAATTCTTCTCAAAATATTTACTTTTAGTTCAATTATCCATCCTTTTTGACCTGCTCACATGTAGCTTGAGGCTTTGAGAGCATCCAAACTCGCTAGCCTATTCATAAACTCAAGCTTTTCAAACATGAAGTTCAAATGTATTTGAAAGGAACTCTGCTATACTACAATTACGAAATTGATTCGGAATTTTTTAAATAGAAATCGAAGTTAGAAGATATGTGATAATTTTTTTTTAGTACCTGGACATACATATACGAACCCACAGAGGTTTTGTTTTAATTTTAAACTTGCATGACACGATTGATCGATTTCAATAAATAAGTTAGAAAAAAAATAGCTTATAACTTAAGTATAATATTTTTACGATTTTTTTAAGAACAGTACCAGAACCTATGATCATCAATATCCGATCGTATTGTAAAATCATCGTTATCTGCTTAGAAGACGTTCGTTACTAAATAGAAATCTCCTCTTTAAAGAATAGTGGTGCTCACTGTTCATTTCTCACGAAATAACCGAGTTGAATGTTTATAAAGCGTGTAATCGCCCAAACTTCACAAAAAGATACATTTTAGAGGGCCTAGTATGACTATTTTACGTTTAAAGAGATCGAAACGAGACCACGTCTGGCGATTTGATTGGCCGGCTCTAATAAACCAAGCAATCAGAGCGCCAGACGTGGTCTCGTTTAACACTATACTTACCTTCTTCGTGCAATCGTAACACATGTAAAAGTACTTCTACAGTTTTCTTTCTCTCTCTTATAAACATCTCAGATATGGTGGCCAAGATTAAAGGTCGACCGTTTATGCAAAAATATAAAAATAAATCACTTAGAAATATTTCAGAGTACTGAAAAGGAAATTGTACAAATTATTGATGTTTTCAGTATATAAAACAGTTATCATAAAAATTAAGGAGATAAAAGCTATGTATTGTAAATAACGTTGTTCAATCACTAGTTTCTATTAGTGGCTTCGCCTGCTTTACCGGGATCAAAGTAGCCTTTTTAGTATTTCAGATTATCTATCTGCGTCTCAGGCGAGGGGTCGCGAGGTTGATTCAAAGTTCAAAAGAATGGGTAGTTTGTTTTTCGGAACCATTATTATTTACCGTAAAGAATAACTGGGTTTTTAAAAACAGAACTCTGTAGCAATATGGAGTCTGGAATTGTGCACGATATAATTATGGTAATGGACTCACCCTCTATTACAGGGGATATTACATATAATATAAATAGTGAAAAGAAGGTGCATCTCTGCCTACCCCTAGCTAAGCTATGCTATGCTACGCTATGCTACGCTATGCTACGCTATGCTACGCTATGCTACGCTATGCTACGCTATGCTACGCTATGCTACGCTATGCTACGCTATGCTAAGCTATGCTAAGCAATGCTAAGCTATGCTAAGCTATGCTAAGCTATGCTAAGCTATGCTAAGCTATGCTAAGCTATGCTAAGCTATGCTAAGCTATGCTAAGCTATGCTAAGCTATGCTAAGCTATGCTAAGCTATGCTAAGCTATGCTAAGCTATGCTAAGCTATGCTAAGCTATGCTAAGCTATGCTAATCTATGCAATGCCATGCCATGCTACGCTATGCTTAGCTATGCTAAGCCATGCTAAGCTATGCAATGGTAAACCAGGCTATGCTACGCTATGCTATGCCATGACATGCTACGCTATGCTATGCCATGCTACGCTATGCTATGCCATGCTACGCTATGCTATGTTATGCTATACTATGCTACGCTATTCTTTTCTACACTATGCTAAGCTATGCTGAGCTATGCTAATCTGTGCCATGCTAAACTATACTAAGCTATGCTACACTATGCTACGCTATGCTACGCTATGCTACGCTATGCTACGCTATGCTACGCTATGCTACGCTATGCTATGATACGCTATGCTACGCTACGTTATGCTACGCTATGCTACGCTATGCTACGCTATGCTAAGCTATGCTACGATATGCTACGCTATGCTATTCTATTATATTCTATGCTGTGCCATGCTATGCTATGCAATGCTACGCTGTGCTATGAAAGGCTATGCTATGCAATGCTATGCAACGCTATGCAATGCTATGAAATGCTATGCTATGCAATGCTATGTAATGCTATGCCATGCGATGCCATTTCATGCCATACCACGCCGTGCTATGCTATGCTATGTTATGTTATCTGGGTGACTTACATTATCTCAGTAGTGATTACATAAAAGGGTAAATAACAAACATAAATACATTTATACATTGTCACGAACTTTAACATTTCTACATATTATTAGTAGATAGCAGAATTTTGTAACGGCGGTTCTACTCATTGGGTCAACGTATTGGGCCAGCGCGTTGGGCTATGTGTGGAGATCTAATTGGCGCTATGTTCGTAGTTGGAGCCAGCGTTCCTGGCCAATAAAACGGTTTTTCGTGCGTATAATATAAAATATCTTACACATAAATTATAAATAACTTACTTTTAGGGAAGGTGATAACGAACGACAAATCGTCAATAGCGTACCCAACAACCACGTATTATACATAAAAAATATCTGAAACCAATAATTTACCTATAATAAAATGAAATTAAATGGTGCTCTAAAATTAGAATTTTACAATATTCATTTTTACCTGACCGCAATATATTTCATTGAAGAGATGAACGCAATCAGCTAGTTTGTCATAAATTTGCATCAATTCAAACCAGGAATGTTGATCTCCTCTTACTATTTTCGGTTCCACGCAAACACTCTGTAATAGATATCTTAGTTAGACAAGACTTTGTTGCTGATTGGCTATATTGTCCCATTGAATCACTTAAATAGACGAGTTCTCATCATAATATACCACATTTACAAAACTTTGTTGCGTTTAACTAAATATTTTACTGCATTTGAATTTGGGTTAGACAGCATGCCATTTGTGAGTCCAGCAACATATCCTTCAGAGGAAATATATCTCATATGTAAGAGAATAAATTATCATTACGAAACCTTAACAATACAATTGAACAAAACATTTGGAATCAATTACCTTGATGATCCAGTCACAAACGGTATCTTTAAATATTATCTCTCTTTGTTTCGACATCGTTGTCCGCAGCATTTTCATCAGAAGTGCATTTAGCATGAGGAGTTTAACATAAATATTTACAATGATAAAGTAAAAGATAGATCCTTGTAACATTAGAAAAAAGAAATTTATATGAGCACCAATATTTTGTATGTTAAACTTTCTCAACCAAAATGTGCTGAGCAACTGTGCCACTGGTAGAATGACCAAAAACGTTGACAAAATCCGTCTTCTTGTAAAAACTGCTTTTGAAACATGAAAAACAGTATCAAGTTCATCCAATTTATTGAAAAGTTCGACAAAACATTGTGAATTAAAGATGGCGATACAGAAAATAGAATAGTCGCCTTCAATAATGGATAATATGCCATATGTTTTTGTCAATACGTTAAGTGGAACATCAGATCTTGTATCTATCCAGCTTCGTGGTTTATATATTGCTAAAACAATAAATAGATGAACTGCGATGAGGAATAATGCGTAAAGCTTATTAAAGAGTGAGACACTAGTTATTTCATTTTTCTTATAAGACACCAATTTGGATCCGAACAAGGACATAAAGTAATTCAAAGGTTTAGCAGCAATTACTAGGGAATATTTCGATATGTTTTCCTTCACATTATTCTTGCAGATAATTACACTAAATGTATTTTCACTTCTTTCCGAGGCGGCAAATATTTTGTTATTTCTTTGTACTTGGAAATCTTGTACGTAAAACATTGTCTTTCACAGACCAACTTTCCTCTAATACCACTTTCTATACAACATTGAATTTTGATTCTCGGTGTCATAAGACAGACAAGAAATATCAATTGAGTTTATATTTAATTCTCATTAATGTAGGGTTGATTATAAGTTGTCGGAGTCGTTAAACCGATATCATCTATAATTATATAATAATTATTAGTGAAATGAAAGTAATACACTTAGGGGCCAGGCAAAGAGAGCCACTAGCGGTGTTTTCATTTTATCGAACCTTCTATAGGTACCTAATTACAAAAAAAAATATTCCTCTTACAACAAAATTTAAACGTAACTAAATTACTTTTTTTACGGCATACGTTACCGATTAATAAAATACTTGTATCAGAAAATAATTATTTAGAAATAAAAAGACGCTAGTGGTTTCATTTTTTTGCTCCCAAGTGTATTATTTTACATAGGATACATATTGTGTGCACCTATATACATATTATGTTGTTGGTATTTACTAACATTAAATTTTGATTAAAGTTGCTTCTCATTAGAATTTCTCCTGTTGTGTCCTGTTTTGTATGTGTGTGTTTACAAACATTCACGTAAACATCAAATCAATACCAGGAACAATTTGTGATTCAATTGTTGTGTTGAAAAATCTAATTAGTCTTAGTCCGTCAGTTAGATACTGGAAAAATATTAGACACGTATTTTTTTTTACTTATAAAGTTACAATACTTAGATAAAATGGAGTTAAGTTTAGGAGTGGGAGGTCGTTACGTCACAAATTGTAGCATGTTATGACGCCACACGATATTTTAAAATAATATATCGTCGAAAGTATTTAATTATGTGAGAAAAGAAAAGTACCTATCTAATGTTTTAAATTAATCTACCAGACGGACATTAAAATGAAATTTAGGAAACTACCCTGCCACAACACAGAGAAAATCCAAAATCCCCACTCATGGTTTGCATCTGTCTGGGAGAGATAAAGTTTTAAAAAATTAATGAATATCCCGTGAATTACAATACTATTTTTGTAGTTACCGTTCAATCCACAGGATTTGGCCAGAAGTACCATGTACACACACCGGCAAGTAAAATGAGTAGACATGCCACTACAAAGCTGATTATTTGGACAGTTGACTTGTCGCTGGAAATGAACAGACTGAAATTAGAATCTTTTATATTTTAATTAAATATTAGGATTAACCGATAAATTTGAACATTTACGGGCGTTCGGCAGTTCGGGCTATTCAGTAACACTTAAATAGATTGCAAAAATCTACACATCATAGGGTTTCATTGTAGAGTCTAAGCCAGACTGTTTATTCTGAAGTATTTTATCTGAGTATTATAACATAACACCGCGCTATTTTATCCCCGAAGGGGTAAGCATAAGTGCACATTACGGCCGTTAATGCCACTGTACAATGTAACACCCACTTTTCACTATTTATGATATGAGTCCCATGTAATAGGGGTGAGTCTATTGCCATATAGCGGGCACATTTGCAGACTCCGTGCTAATATTGAGAATTTCTTAAAAAAACCCCAGTAATACTTTCCCGACCTGGGAATCGAACCCGAGACCCCTTGCCCGGGCACTTGCGACCACTCGGTCTTAGTATTATCTTGTCTTATTACAATGGAATCTAACTGATTTGCTAATTACGAATTTGGAAAATGTAATATCCGAGATTATTGAAACTTACCATATTTTGAATGCTCCTGGAATATTCTCCCACAAGAATACACTTTCTCCACGATCCAATCGGGCTTCGAAATGTTTGTAGAGAGAAACCTGGATATTTTATGAAGGTCAAAGAAAAATATGCAACATCTTTTTTCTTTCTCTTTCTTTTTTGTTTAGAAAACATTTGCCCCACACTAGGATTTTCTCCTGTGTCGTGGGTGCGTTTATAATCTGGGAAAATAAGCGTAGTTAAGAAAAAGATCTCGGAATTTGAGATATTCGGCAGGAAACTTATGAAAAGTCTGTCTTTGACCTTAGTACTTGTCTCAAAACCTACGTATCGTAAGCTGTTCGCGTCTAGAGAGATGCGTCTATAGATATCTATACTATCGATAATTCAATATCTATACTATGGTCAAAAAAGACTTTTCATAAGTTTCCTGCCGAATATCTCACATTCTAAGTTGTCAAAATAAAGACTTTGGACAAGGTTTTAGCCGACTATCTCACATACCGAGGTTAAACCCTTATTTTTTTTAGAAACATAATTTCACTTATACAATATACACAATATGACACCCAGACCCCGAAAAACAATGTGGATCACACAAAAAGTTGTTCCTATTCTACTCTATATATCTTTGTGACATGCATATATCTTTGTGAATGGTGAATTGGTGATAGCCGATTTTAAATGAAGTTTTTGTTTTACGGTTTAGATTAATTCTCTGTTATATTGCATCCACAGCTGGCGAATAATAACATGGAGTCTTTATATTTTTTCAAATCTAAATGTTTTCTTAAACATGCATTTTGGTATCCCACCCACAGTGCCGCAGCCAACGTTTATAAGCTTGCAATATCTTTTTCTACTCCTACCTAAAACCTACTAACTTATCATTGAGATAAACCAATCAACTCTTAATTATATTAGAGCAAGCAAGTACTTACAGAATAATACAACAGTTTTGACATTTTGGTTTTAAGCTGACAGATGACAGAGCCCATACTTCTAATACCTACACAGTAAAGAGTATCCATAAAATATCGAGCAATAAAGCAAAAGCCAAGAACGTTGCAAAAAGGTTTTGGATTAACACGTTTCTATGACAATCTTGGCTATGACTACGCGCAAGAGTCGAATTATGTCACCGCAGTACTAACATGCCCGAGCCGCGGATAACCTAACGGGTTACCGGGGCTCCGACTCGAAGTGCAAGAGTGGAACGGGGTGGTTTTTAGTCAGTAAGAGTCTGACACTCCCTTCCACATCACCCAGGCGGGAGAAGTCATGCGATGATTCTCCTCCCTTAAAAAAAGTACTAACATGCCCAAGTATTGTCAACTTTCTATAACGCCACGATCCTTAGAAGAATGTTGAATTCGATACCGTAGATTCCATTTCATAGGTACTTAACTACTAATTGACATATACGGCGACCAAATAAAAGTGTGTTAAAAACAACCGACGAACTATTGTAAAAAGCAAACCTCAAGAGCGCATACGCATAGTACATTATCAAAACATCACAAATTGTAATTCTCGAAGAGGTACGTATCCCTCGGTAGCACGTGTAATGCGCGTAGTACCTACAAATAACATCAACTGTCTCATGTGCTTAAGTCAATTATAAATGTGGGAGAGTCATGCTTAGGCACGAATGGGCCGGCTCGGCCGGAACGATACCACGGCCTCATAGAAAACCGCCGTGAAACAATGCTTGCGCTGTGTTTTGTCGTGTGAGTGAGGTTACTGGAGGCCTAATTACCCCCCTCCCCAGTCTCCCCAATCCTCCAAAATCCTCAAATTCCCAATTCCCGAAAGGCCGGTAATGCACTTGTAACGCCTACGGTTTTCGAGGTGTCCATGGGTGGTGACGATTGCCTTACCATCAGGTGATCCGTCTGCGCGTTTACCGGCTTATCCCATAAGATAGTATGTTTATTTTAACTAATAAAAACGACATCTTTATTATTTTTTGTTATTACTTTATGTATCGAAAATACTCTGACTAGCAAATTGTTTTGCCGTGGGACGAAAACGAAATTTTCACGATGTATTGTATAACACTAATAAACATGAAAGTGAAATACTGAATATAAAGAGTTTGAACTCTTCTTAATGAATTAAAGCAGCTGCCATTTTTTTTCAAAGGGGGAAAATCATCGCATTACTTCTCCCGCCTGGGTGAAGCAGCTGCCTGAGCTCTCATTGGGTTTACTTTGAGTCGGGTTTATAAATTCAAATGTTTGTTGGGTGACTGGGTCACTATCCACTTAAAAGACAATATTGATATAACAGAAAATGCAGGTCGCTGGTTCTCCGTTGCAACATGATGGCCCACAGCATGTCATAGAGTCAGTTTTTATGAAAATAACTCTTTTTGTCAAATATTTTACTTATGCAGCCTGTGGTGTAGGTATATCCAGCAGGTATACAGCGACCTACGTGTACAGTACAATAATGCATTCAGGGTGTTTTTGGTGTTGCCGTGCCGATGCAGTGCGTCGGGGATGTGCACATGTTGACGGTTTCGCTGCGATCATGTCGGAATGATGTGCTTCCACGATGCGTCTGCGCTCTTTTTCACTTTCTCCTGAATGTGTTTTCAGACAGATGATACTCAATCATCTTACAGCGTGGCCACGAAATATTTGCCCTAGCGAAAACCCGCGCGGTGCGACCAACGAGGCGTCTAGCGACTGAAATAAACACATAGAAAAATGTACTGATCAGGCAACAGAGAGCGGCGACAAGCGAAATGTATCAAGCGAATTGCAACCACGCGGCGGTCGATCCTCGTGGCCATACCGCCACAAGGGTGGATAAGTATCCAGACTCAAATGTTCTATTAGGCCGTTAAACTGGTGTAGCAATATTCATTTGGTTAATTGTTATATCTAATTTAATTAATATGAACATTAAACTAAGTTGTAAACTATCTACTATTAACACATTTATATGGTGTATCTGAAATACATTATTAGAATTGAATTACAAAGTGATAAAAACAAGTTTTTAACCTGATTTTTCTGTATAGTTTTACTAAACGCTATCTATCAAATAATACGTACTATATTCGTTTACCTCTAAAGCAAAAAAAAATAACTTGTCTGGTTGGATGCATCTCGATTTACGCAAATCCCACGTAGTAGTATAGTAGAGAGTATTTATTGAAAATAAGATAATTCTCAATGATGAGAACGTACTAAAATTTGTTGCATCGTTTTGAAATTTAGAATAGATTGTAAAATATATTATTATACTAGATTTTACCCGCGGCTTCGCTCGCGTCACAAAAAGGTAAAAAGTAGCCTATGTGACTATCCA